TTTTTGTTTTGTTTTTTTTTGACACGGAGTTTCGCTCTTGTTACCCAGGCTGGAGTGTAATGGCGCGATCTCGGCTCACCGCAACCTCTGCCTCCTGGGTTCAGGCAATTCTCCTGCCTCAGCCTCCTGAGTAGATGGGTTGTATTTTTAATAGAGATGGGGTTTCACCATATTGGTCAGGCTGATCTCAAACTCCTGACCTCGTGATCTGCCCACCTCGGCCTCCCAAAGTGCTGGATTACAGGCGTGAGCCACTGTGCCTGGCTAGACTGATTTTTTTCAAAGCGTTAATTCTTTTGATCTTTGCATTGTTTATTGTGTCCAGGGTGGCCAATTCGTATTTATAAAATTATTCTGAGTTCCTCTTGTGAACTAAGCAAGGGACAGTAATAAGAAGATCAATTTTATTTTATTTTTTTGAGATGGAGTCTTTCTCTGTCGCTCAGGCTGGGGTGCACTGGTGCAATCTCAGCTCCGCCTTCTGGGTTGAAGCTATTCTCCTGTCTCAGCCTCCTGAGTAGCTGGGATTACAGGTGCACACCACCATGCCCAGCTAATTTTTGTATTTGTAGTAGAGAAGGGGTTTTACCATGTTGGTCAGGCTGGTCTTGAACTCCTGACCTCGTGATCTGCCCTCCTTGGCCTCCCAAAGGGCTGGGATTACAGGCATGAGCTGCCATGCCCAGCCAAGATCAATTTAAAAGCTTCTCTCAAATTCTTCAAAAGAACACCTGCATCAGAGAGAGTTGGTTTTCTAAAGGTTTCATTGCCAAAGCAAATGTTCCAAAAGTTTGAAAGTGAGAGGCATAGTCCAGATGAAGAAAACCCTGGCTGGCCACAGCTGATCATCGCCATCACCTAGAAACAAACTGCAAATCCAATTTTGATAACCACTTGTCTTTAAGTCCTTCCCCAAAATCAATTTCAAGGCCCAATATCTTATGATTAAAAAGAGTCACCTCCCTCCTATATTTGAAGTGGAAAGAAAAAAAAAAGAGTCCCAGTCAGCCAAGCATGGTGGCCCACACCTGTAATCCCAGCACTTTGGGAGGCTGAGGTGGATGGTACCACTTGAGCTCAGGAGTTTAAGACCAGCCTGTGCAACCTGGCAAAACCCTGTCTCTACTAAAAATACAAAAACTTAGCCAAGCATGGTGGTGCATACCTATAGTCCTAGCTACTCTACTCGAGAGGCTGATGTGGGAGAATCACCTGAGCCTGGGAGGTCGAGACTACAGTGAGCTGAGATTGTGCCATTGTGCTCCAGCCTGGGCAACAAGAGTAAGACCTGGTCTGTGGGGGCGGGGAGGAGTCCCAGGCTAGCACAGTGGCTCATGCTTATAATCCCAGGACTCTGGGAGGCCAAGGTAGGAGGATCTCCAGCCCAGGAATTCAAGAACACCTTGGGCAACACCTCAAGACCCTGTGTCTACAAAAAATTTAAAAAGTCGGGCATGGTGACGTGCACCTGCAGTCCCAGCTACTTGGAAGGTTGAAGTGGGAGGATCACTTGAGCCCAGGGTCGATTTTGCAGTGAGCCACGATCACACCACTGCACTTCAGCCTGTGGGACAGTGAGAGACCCCGTTTAAAAAAAAAAAAAGTCTCAAGTCAAGTGTCTGGGACACATTTGTAAATGATACTGGAAAGCAATAGTTATTGCTCTCAAGGAGCCTGCAATCCGATAGTTTGATTAGAAAGTATTTGTCTTTCACAAGCATAGTTAATCCAATTTTACAGAGGAGGCTCAGTTGAGGCTCCAGAGGATAACTGCCTTACCCCAGATCACTCTTGGGAACAGAGAGAGTCAAGACCCTCACCAAGGCCTTTTAATGAGACAGCAAATGCTGTTGCAGCAGTTTCAACAAAGATGTAGAACTTCAGAAGGAAGGGGGAACAGAATAAGAATGTCATAGATAACATAGCATGTGAAATAGGGCCCTGGAGGATGGGCAAGATTTGCTGGCAAGCTGTTTAATTTGGCTGGAGAGCTGATGTCCTTCACAGAGTTGGAGGTCAAAGGGCAGAAAGGGGCACCTGAGATCAGATTAGAGCGGACTGATCTGGGCTTCCACTCCAGGTAATGTGCCATGCTTAGAATGCTGCATCCCTTTTAGGAGTGGAGGGTGAGGGTTACCCAGGAAAGAGAGAGCACACTGTCTTCATCACCAGAGTGATTTCTTTGTTCTGGGTAAGGGAACAAACACTGGAGGAATACAAAGGCCTATTCAGCAAGTCCTTTTCCCTCTGCCCACTGGCTCAAATACAAAAAATCTCATTTTCCCCTTGATTACTTATGTTAGTAAAATTCTGATCACAGCATCAATCAAAGAGTGGAAGAGATAGGGAAAGATTTTCCATAGTCATTCCAATTTCAGATGGTTGTTCTCAATCACTCCCAGGTCAAAAGATTAACCATTCCCAATCTTCTCAGGAAAAACCATTTTAATGCTTAATTTCTACTCAGGCTTCACTATGTTCCAAGTCCCTCAAGTTAAAGCTTATCAAAATTACAGCCAGGGCCGGGTGGTGGCTCACGCCTGTAATCTCAGCACTTTGGGAGGCTGAAGTGGGTAGATCACCTGAGGTTGGGAGTTCAAGACCAGCCTGACCAACCTGGTGAAACCCTGTCTCTACTAAAAATACACAAATTAGCTGGGTGTAGTAGTGGGCGTCTGTAATCCCAGTTACTTGGGAGGCTGAGGCAGGAGAAATGCTTGAACCCAGGAGGCAGGAGTTGTAGTGAGCCAAGATTGTGATGCTGCACTCCAGCCTGGATGACAGAGCAAGACAACAACAAAAAACAAGCAACAACAAAAAAATTTTAGCCAGGAGAAGTATAGTCAATGTCTCAAAACTGCATACATTTTTTCTTGGGTGACTACAGGGTTTAAAAACAAGGCAGTCTAGTAAGGTTATTTCATCATCTGTACATATTGAACATCAAGAAAAGCAAAAATCCCCCCAAAATCTATTTCAGACCTTACATAGGACTACTAGTCTATAATTCCATGATAGAACTCTACTAATGCTCCAACTGAAGTCAGATGAGCTGCTATCACTGGTATGAATTTTAAAAGCAGACACTCTCTCTCCCAATCTGTTTGGCTTCAAGGCTCCACCCCAATCTGCTCAGGTGTACTGACAGCTTTCAGACATGAGAAAGTTAATATTTGAAATAATAATACAATTATTTCCAGTTAAGGTTTACAGACCTTGAAAAGGCTTCCAGACATTTTTTTGCAAGAGACAACAAACCTCTGACCTATCCCAAATGTCGCAGAAGAGGCACTCACTGGCCATCAGCCTTGGATACTTAACTTGAGATGAAAATATTTGAAAGATAAAGCTACCTAATAATGTGAAGCCTGGCTGGGTGAGGTGGCTCACACCTGTAATCCCCCACACAAGGTGGGCGGATCGCTTGAGGTCAAGAGCTTGAGACCAGCCTGGCCAACATGGCGAAACCTCATCTCTATGGAAAACACAAAAATTAACCGGGCAGGGTGGTCAGCGCCTGTAATCCTAGCTACTTGGAAGGCTGAAGCACCAGAATCGCTTGAACCCAGGAGGTGGAGATTCAGTAAACCGAGATTGCATCACTACACTCCAGCCTGGGCAACAGAGACTGTCTCCAAAAAAAAAAAAAAGTGAAGCCTGCTTATTTAAGGTCCTGATCTAAAACTCCAGGCAGGGCCAGGAGTGGTGCTCACAATAAACCCAGTGCTTTCAGAGGCCAAGGTGGAAGGACTGCTTGAGGCCAGGAGTTCAAGGCTTCAGTGAGCTATGATGGCGACACTGCCCCCATGCCTGGGCAACAAAGCAAGAACCTGTCTCTAAAATAAATAAATTTTTAAAAACTCAAAGGAAACAGAAAAGCTATGTTTCTCTAAGGCACACAATGGTTATTCTTTCTTTCCTTTTTTTTTTTTTTGGAGACAGGGTCTTGCTCTGTTACCCAGGCTGGAGTACACTGGCATGATCCCAGCTCACAGCAAACTCAAACTCAACAATTAAAGAACACCAAAATGTTTTTAAGACGGGGTTTCGCCATGTTGCCCAGGCTAGTCTCAAACTCGGGCTCAAAGGATCCTCCCTCCGTGCCACTGCCCTTCTCCTGGTTCTTAGTCTAGTACTGGATCAACATCACCTATCCCCTTCTGAGAACTACACAGAAGTCGAAGGAGAGTGTTTTCTAGTCCACGGAACCCCCTCTCCCCTGATTCACTACTTCCTATTGTGGTCACGCCTATGTGAGGGGCGTTAATAAGCACTCATTCTGATTTGGTTTAATGAGAGCCACAGTGTGACACTGCCCCACTCCAGTTTTAAAAGAGGAAACTACAGACACAAATAGGCGCTCTTTCCCAAAGCCCAAGGAGTCAGCAGGACACCGAGTTCCAGGCCCTATCCTATCGCTGGCTAATAGAGACAAGGGGAAATTCAATACCATCCTGTGAGCCTGTCTTGAGGTGTAAAAAGGAGTTGCTGAAAAGTAACGTGCCCTCTTTAGAAGAGCAAGCCTGACTTACGTCAAGTGCTCAAGGCAGTTTCACTGGGTGCCTGAGGAAGTTTGTGTCTCTTAAGCCTCTGCTTCCACCTCCACCCTCAGGTGAATGAGAAGAGGAAATAAAGTGGTTGGAGCTCCCAAATTTGAGAGTTCGTGCGCATGTAGCAGAATTTTTTCAAAAGCAAGTATGTCCCTATCCCACCCTACCCACTTTCCTCCCTCCTCCTGGTGCCACATCTACACTGAGAAATTAGGTAACCACAGATAAGTTCACAACAGGTCAAGCAGCCCCCACCGTCACCCTCTCCCAGACCACAGGAAAGAGAGCGTGGCCAGCAGAAACAGGACAAATGAGGGACCTCTGAGCTCTCCATCGCTAGACCAATTTCCTCAGGCCCGGAGCCTGAGCCGCCGCTAGGCCCGCCGCCCTCCCCGGCTCTCGGCCCCACCACGTCCCCACAGGGCGTCCCGGTGGCCGGCGACCGCTCACCTGCGCCCGACACAGTAGCAGCAGGAGGAGGCCGAGGCCCAGGCCGCGCGCACTCATGCTGAGGCCGCGAGAGGCTGCGGACACCGGCGGCGTTCGGCTGGCTGGGCTCCCCGGCGGCCGCTCTACTTCCCCGGGCTGTTTCAGCACCCCGCGCCGGAGGAGCGGAGGAGCGGAGGAGCAGGAGCAGGCGCGGACAGCGACAGCAGGCTGCGCGCGCAGATCAGGAAGGAAGAAGGCGTCGCCGGCTTCGCCCCTTCTGGGAGGTGCCGCTGCAGGGCCCTACTAGGGGGCGGGGCCACACCCGCCGCGCCCCCGACGCTGCGCTTCTCCTCAGCCCTTGCGGCCTCCAGGCGCCACGCGCGGGGCTTTTGGAGTCTGGCTCGGGCCGGGAGAATATCTGTGGAGTTGTGCCAACAGTTTCTGTCCGTGATGCTTTCCCTTTTCGTCTCTGGGTTGGAGGGGGCAGGCGAGGTTTCAGCGAAGGGTAGTGGCGTTCTGGGAGACTTCCGGGTAAGGTCCCGCCCGGCCGCGGAGTCTGTGTTTATTTCGGCTCCGACAAGTACTCAGAGCGACTTCTCCCAACCCAGTCACCCAAAAGGAATCCCAGCCCCGGTACTTTCTAGCAGAGTGCAGGGCAGTGACGCACAGTGGCCTGACCATGTGATGAGCCTAGAGCGTGGCAGGGCGGAGCGCGGGTGGGCGCGGTCGCGCGACCAGGCCTGGGAAAGTGCGGGAGCCGCGCCGCCTGCTGGCCCAGCCGCGCAGCGCAAGCCCTTGGGCGCGAGGAAACCCCGACGTGGGGACCAGGGTCTATTTTAAGTTCTGCACGAAGACAGGTAAAGGAGACGCATCGTCATTTTTGAGCCATGCATTTAATATATGTGTTTATCTTAAACTCTAGTTGTGTTTCTGGTAACATTTTCCCCCAAATTTCAAGTATTCAGACCACTCAAAAGCACCAGTCATTTCCATTTTGAAGTTAAGAAGATGGAGGTAAGGATCTCTTTCCCAACAGTGGAAGCAAATTTGCAACGAAAAGACTAAACGTTCATCTGGAGCAGTGACCGCACCCCGCCCCAAGGAGGCCCATGATGCAGGTGACCTTCCCATCCTTACCCTATAAAGTGCTATTTCACTTTCTGTCTTGCCTCCTCACCTCCTCAGCCTGAGATGGTGAAGCAGCCCCCACTGCCACCCTCTCCCAGACCACAGGAAAGAGAGTGTGGCCGGCAGAAACAGGTCTAGCTCTCCATCGCTAGACCAATTTCCTCAGGCTATCTGGCTGGCCTGGCAGTGAAACTATGGGGATTTCTTCAGGTCTCCTCCACGCTGACCTCGTAGTCCTTATTCAGCTGTGTGCTCTCGCTTCCCACTCCCCAGGCTCCAGTTCCTGGTGCCCCCACCGATGATCGAGTCCTGTGTATGATTTCATGCAGGGAGTCTCAAAGGGTGGTCCCTAGACCAACAGCAGGAGCATCTCCTTGGAACTTGTTAAAAATGTGAATTCTCAGCCTGGGCAATGTAACAGGACTCCCTCTATACAAAAAAAATTTTTTTAAGTTAGCTGGGCATGGCGGCACACACCTGTAGTCCCAAGCTACTAAGGCAGGAGGATTGCCTGAGCCCAGGAGGCTGCAGTGAGCTATGATTGTGCTGCTGCACTCCAGCCTGGGTGATAGAGCAAGACCCAGTCTCTCTTTTTTTTTGAGTCGGGAGTTTCACCATGTTGGTCAGGCTGGTCTTGAACTCCCGACCTTAGGTGATCCACCCGTTTCCGCCTCCCAAAGTGCTGGGATTACAAAATGAGCCACCACGCCCAGCCGACCCAGTCTCAAAGAAAGAGATAAAGACAGAGAGAGAGAAAAAAAGAAGAAAATGTTAGAGTAATATTTCTAAGTTTATGAATTACTTTGGAGGTTCTAAGTTTCCATAACCCTCCTTCAGGAAGAAGAATTCTGGTTCCTGTGACTTGCTTCAGGGGTGCCAGAGGGCTGGAGACAGGAGGGCAGGAGAAGGTCAGGGATAGACTGTTTCTGAGGCTGCTTCTGAGACCTTCCAGTCTCCTTTAATTCAAAGTACTCAGCATGCCAAAGCCTCCTACTTTGCGATGTTGTTTTCTGAGCTCGAGTGGCTGAGATCCAGAGACTTTTTTTTTGTTGTTGAAAGAATATTCGGCTGGGCGCTGTGGCTCACACCTGTAATCCCGGCACTTTGGGAGGCCGAGGCGGGTGGATCACGTGAGGTCAGGAGTTCGAAACCAGTCTGTCCAACATGGTGAAACCCTGTCTCTACTTAAAATACAAAAATAGCTGGGCATGGTGATACATGCCTGTAATCCCAGCTACTTGGGAGGCTAAAGCAGGAGAATCACTTGAACCTGGGAGTCGGAGGTTGTAGTGAGCCAAGATCGTAACACGAGCAAAACTCCATCTCAGAAAAAAAAAGAAAGAAAGAATATTCAATACCATCTTCATAAGCACTATTCAATGTTGACCTCAGAGCAGTAAAGTAGAAAACAGGGGAAAATGAAATTGTTAAACACTTGCATCTTTGTAAATGTGCAGAAACATCTTCCAGAAAACTTCTGTGTAGTGGAAAACATATATGTGTGAATATAATATATAAACCTTTTAAATAAGTGGGAATATACAGTACAGAGTTTTCATCTGGCTTCTTTGCTTTTAGCAGTATGCTTTCCTACCTCACTCCTTTTAACATTTGTAAAGGATTTTATTATGTGTATGCAACACTTCTGAAGCCATACTCAGAGCAGTGTCTACATCAATGAAATAGAAATCACCAACCAAATATGTCAAAATAACTCAATTCCTTTACTTGCATTCCTAGTAATATGAAGGGGTTGTGTGGTACCAGCAATACATTGTAAACATATCTTTCCTTTTTTTTTTTTTGAGACACAGTCTTGCCTTATTGCTGAGGCTGGAGTACAGTGACATGATCTCAGCTCACTGCAACTTCCATATCCCACGGTCCAGCAATTCTCATACTTTAACTTCCCAAGTAGCTGGATTACAGGTGTGCACTCCCACACCCAGCTAATTTTTTTGGATTTCATTAGAGATGGGATTTCACCATGTTGGCCAGGCTGGTCTTGAACTCTTGGCCTCAAGCAATCTGCCCGCCTCAGACTCCAGAAGTGTTAGGATTATAGGCATGAGCCACTGCTCCTTGCCCCCCTTTCCTTTTCCGTGTATTTCCTCATATTCCTGAGCTTTCATGGAGTCCACAAAGCCTCGAATTTCTGTGCCTGTTGCTTTCCCAGTCATGCTGCATCACCAAAGTCTAAACACGTTTGAATATTTCCCTTACAGAGGGAGAGGAGAAAGTTGACCCAAGACTAAATTATCTGTAGCTGGTAGATAGAAGGGGAAGGTTGGAAGTACTTATGTTGTTCATTTTTGATCCACTGTGTAACTTAATCTCTTTTTGGGCATTTAGTTTGTCACTTGTTATTGGAAACAATGCAGTGAACATCCTTGTATCTTTTAAAAAAATGTATTTTTTTTTCTAGGGTACAGTCTCACTCTGTTGCCAAGTCTGGAGTGCAGTGGCCTGATCATGGCTTGTGGCAGCCTCTACCTCCTGGGCTCAAGCGATCCTCCCACCTGTGCACCACCACTCCTGAGTAATTTTTGTATTTTTTGTAGAGTGGGGGTCTTGCCATGTTGCCCAGACGAGTCTCAAACTCCTGGGCTCAAGCAGTCTGCCTGCCTCAGCCTCCTAAAGTGCTGGGATTACAGGCATCAGCCACCATGCCTGGCCCATCCTTGGATCTAAATTTTTGCAATGTACAAATAGAACTTTGGAAATACTTTTACATTGTTGGATCAAGGGAAATGTGCATTTAAGTTTTGATTATTGTCGGATTGCCCTCCAAAGAAATTGGAGCCAGCAATGTAAGGAAGTGCCTAAATGGAATCTGTGATTTTATGTATTTTAATTTGTTTTTTATTTTTAAAAATATTGGGGCCAGGCGAGGTGGATCATGCCTATAATCTCAGCAGTTTGGGAGGCTGAAGTGGGTAGATCACTGGAGGTCAGGAGTTCAAGACCAGCCTGGCCAACATGGTAAAACTCTCTCTATTAAAAATACAAAAATTAGTTCATGTGCGGTGGCTCATGCCCATAATCCCAGCACTTTAGGAGGCTGAGGCAGCCAGATCACGAGGTCAGGAGATCGAGACCATCCTGGCCAACATGGTGAAACCCTCTCTCTACTAAAAATACAAAAATTAGCTGGGCATGGTGGCACATGCCTGTAATCCTAGCTACTTGGGAGGCTGAGGCAGGAGAATCGCTTGAACCAGGAAGGTGGAGGTTGCAGTGAGCTGTGATGGCACCACTGCACTCCAGCCTGGCTGCAGAGTGAGACTCCGTCTCAAAAAAAAAAAAAAAAAAATCAGCTGGGCATGGTGGTACACACCTGTAGTCCCAGCTACTCTGGAGGCTGAGGCAGGAGAATTGTTTGAACCCAGGAGGTGGAGGTTGCAGTGAGCCAAGGTCACGCCACTGTACTCTAGCCTGGGCTACAGCAAGACTCTGTCTCAAAAATAAAATAAAATAAATAAAATAAAATGGATGCTTCGATTTGTATTTCTTTAATTATAAGTGGGATTAAGGATCTTTTCACACATTTATAAGTAATTTTATTTCTTTTTCTGTGCTTTTTTCTTTTGAGACAGAGTCTTACTCTGTCACCCAGGTTGTAGTCTACTGGCATGATCACAGTTCACTGCAGCCTTGACCTCCCTGGCTCAAGTGACCCTTCTGCCTCAGCCTCCAAAGTGCTGGGATAACAGTTATGAACCACCATGCCAAGCCAGTAAAATTTCATTCCCAAAAATCTTTTGATTTATTCTAAAAAGCTTTTTTTTTTTCCTGCTGATCTGCAGTCTTCAAAGTAGGTAGTGCTTCAAATAGACTGAGAAAAAAAGGATGCCTACTTACCCAACAGATTGCAAGCTTGCGTAGTTCCTAACCTGAGGCCTAAAGTTCAATAACAGAAAGTGATAAAACTAGGGTTCTGAGGTAACAGGATGTAATCAGTGTCATTTAGTGACATCTGAGGCTTTTGCAGAAAATACCAAAGACTAGTGTGACTTAAGCAATAGGAATTTATCTCTTACAGTTCTAGAGGTTAGAGAGTTCAAGGTCAGCATGGGGCGCTTATTTGGTTCCTGGTGAGGGCTCTCTTCCTGGCTTGCAGACAACACCTTCTCCCTGTGTCCTAAAATGGTCTTTCCTTAAGTGTATGCTTTCAGGGAGAGAGATTTCTCTCTCTCTTCCTTTTCTTCCAACAATCCTATTGAATTAAGGCCCCTCTCTTATGACTTTATTTAACCTTAATTATATCCTAAAAGCCTTATCTTCAAATACAGTCACCTTGAGAGGTTAGGGGTTTTCAACACAAGATATTTGGGGGAGCACAGTTCAGTCCCTAGCTCCTCTCCTTTTTGCTTAGGGCTGCATTATGACTTGTGTGGGCCCCAGGTACCTTTGCCTTTAAGAACCCCTTTTTCTTTAAAAAAATTTTTTTAAATTAGAGTTTCCAATTGTATTGATATAATGACAAATATGATCCTGGCTGAATTCATTATTATATGCTCATTATTATAATATTCTTATTTTTATTCTAATTTCAAAAGAAATTAAAATGTTTTTATGG